ATAGAAAATAGAGCTTCTCACTCTAGAACAGTTGACTGAGTTTTGCCTCTCTTTTGTAGGAACAAGCTATTGAAACTTCCATGCTTTTTATAAATGTAATTTGTAGGATATCTTGGTGAGGAGAAACCTCCTTAAACCAGGGTTTAATTGTATGCTTTCTAATTTTAGACACTATAGTATGCATAGTTATATTCCTTTGCACTCAGTATTACATTATCCTTTCCTTTCTTGTATTCCTGCTGTAATAATATTTTATATAAGCCACGTGATTCTCTGCAGCCTTGAACGATGGAAGAATATACAGTACAGTGGTACCTCGGGTCAAGTACTTAATTCATTCCGGAGGTCTGTTCTTAACCTGAAACTGTTCTTAACCTGAAGCACCACTTTAGCTAATGGGGCCTCCTGCCACCACTGCACGATTTCTGTTCTCATCCTGAAGCAAAGTTCTTAACCCGAGGTACTATTTCTGGGTTAGCGGAGTCTGTAACCTGAAGTGTCTGTAACCTGAAGCGTATGTAACCCGAGGTACCACTGTACAATACTGATAAATGTTATAAAAGGAACAGTCATGTCAATTCACTAAGAAAAAACAGGGATACTTAAACCCATTTTTGTTGTTGCATCTATGAGACTATTTCTGTTTTGTGACTGTTGACCTTGTAAAAGAGCCTTGGGGTGCCTGCCATACTAGAAAAGATATCTTCATGAAGTTGCAAAATAATGGAAGAGAAAATTGGCTCCATTTTACTGCACTTTCAGGTCAGTCGTGCCATACGGAGATACTGCTGCCTCCTGCAATTTTTATCTCTGTCTAATTGAATTGAGGCCAAGCAATGATTCATGTTATGGTACTTTTTGATTTGCTATCTTTTTCCTTTGCAGAAAAAGCAGTAAAAGAAAAACTGTTAAAATTGTACTATTATTCCAAACACTAATGACCACCAAATCCGATGTATTGTTTACGGCACTGTCAAATTGTAGTAGCAGTTGATTTCCATCTTGTTTTAGGAAGTCGTAGTAATATTTTAGTACAGTGCAGTAAAACCATCACAACTTGAAACACAAATTGAATTCCCAAATTTGCTTTCATCACCTTGCCAAATTCAGCATCTGAATTGGAGCATATCATATGGAATGGAGTTTATTGTAGCAATAAATCAGCTCTGTGGTAGACTGTGACAGCTGCAGGAGAGAGTTATAAAACAGCAATATATTATTTTACTCAGATTTTACTGCACCTTACATTTTTTTCCAAACTCATCCCTAACCCTCTAACCAAGTGTATGCCCTGTGGTTCTAAACACTGTTATGTTGAAACAAGAACAATATTGCAACAGAAACAGTATTTAGAACCATAGGGCATACATGACGCTTGGACCACATTCTGTCATCTTTCATGATGATGATTTAAGACTGGGTTGGAGAGCCTGTGGCCCTCAAGATTATGTTGGATTCCATCTCCAGGCAGCCTTGGGAAGCACCATCAATGGTCAAGGATGATGGAAGCTGAAGTCCAGCAATATCTGGGCTCCAACTTGTCATCCAAGGACTGCATGTGGCCCTCAAAGCATTTTTGGCAGCCCTTGGCAACATTTGACCACATACACAAAACCCCACATAAGCGAGGCGCTGGGTTTTGGGAAGGAGGCATGAGGGCTCTGGCAGAGTCCTCCCTCCTCCTTCCCAAAACCTATTTAGTGCTTTCCCAGCTTTGGGAAGGAGATGGGAGGCCTCCAAGACCCTGCCAGAGCCTTGTGCCCCCTTCCCAAAGCCTGGCTCCTCACTTAACTGGCTTTGGGAAGGCAGAGTGAGGGTGGGAGGCATCAGATTTTGGCCTCACTCACTCCTTTGTTCAATAATGCTGTCTGTGGCCCGCGGATACTCTTGTGGCCCACTTGGTATGAAAAGATGGACCACTCTGATCTGGAAAGCTGTAGGTCCCCAGGTAAGGTAAGCAGAGTTTGTCTTTCTATTGCAAACTTCCTTTTCAAATTGTCCATTCAAAATTTCAGACATCAACATGCATGTCTGGCTAGTATTCATGGGAAAGGGTCATAAAACAAGTAGTTGTTTAATGCTTGGGATTACCTTTTCAGCAATCCCAAAAGGTGGATGGGGAGGAAAGATGGAAGGTGGAGGAATAGCCATGTGCAAAACACTGCAGGTTTGTGCCAGCCAGGCCAGGATGTTGGGAGAGGGCTTCTAACCAGACAGTTTCACCCCTCCTGTTGGGTCCTGTGAGAGGGAAATGTGTTATAGCAGCTCCAGGACTTACATAGTTTTCTTGCTGATCTGGGGGTGGGTGGATTGAGAGGAGGAGAATTTGGATCCCACATGTCCAAGATCTTCATTGATCTTCCTCTGGCATGCTCCTTCACTTGCACCATTGGGGCACAGCTGATGGAAGGGTGAGTGCTGTAAGTACAGTCATACCTTGGAAGTCAAACGGAATCCGTTCCGGAAGTCTGTTGAACTTCCAAAACTTTCGAAAATCAAAGCATTGCTTCTGATTGGCTGCAGGAAGTTCCTGCAGCCAATCAGAAGCCCAGTTGGACGTTCGGCTTCCATAACAGTTTGAAAACCGGAACAGTCACTTCTGGGTTTGTGACGTTCGGGAGCCAAATTGTTTGGGAACTAAGCTGTTCGATTTCCAAGGTACGACTGTATGACAAAAAGGCATCCCAGGGCGGATCTGCTGCACCTTTGGAACAGAGATCTGGCTCCTCAGCTGTCCTCCCAGGGGCCATGGGATTGCAGCCTAAATAAATACATTTTGTTAATAACCGTAATACTGTTTTGCTATTACCAAGTGTGTTGTTATGAAAAAAATAAGAACAAACTCTCAGTGCTAATAATTGGGTCGTTGGTCCCCACATCTCAATATTAATTAAGATGGAGACTTCCATAGGCTACACTTGTAGAAAGCCACTCACCTGGTAGCCTATGGTAAATAATAATCACCTCCAGGCAACCAGGCCGTGAAACCAGTCGGATGCTGGCTCTGTCCTGAAGACCTAAGTAAACCAGACTTGGTTTTCAGAGAAAAGGGAGGAACTAGCCTGAAGGCAGAATCATCAGGCTCATTCTGACTTGTGTGAATCTGATGTTCATGGCCAACAAGATACTGTATAGTGAATTCTTATTCTTTATGACTTCCCTGGCCTTCCCATAAACATCTTTGTTCACTTGCAAGCTGCTATTTGGAGCAAAACTGAAAGTATATGAATTCTGGGATGCTTTACATAGTCTTTCTAGCAAGTGAGGCAAAATTCTTTCTCATTAAAGAACAACATTTTCAAGGAAACCCTGGATAATACAACACTTCAGTGCTCAGAAGGCCTTCGTTCAGTTTAGCAATTGAGGATTTCTGTGACTTATGGAAATAATGGGTCCATGAAATGTTTATCCTAATTCAGAAAGGGCCTTTATATTTCTGTCCTTTTCATTCAGAAGGCTTGCAGATTATGTTGTCTTTTGATATACAGCAATCTATAGCTGCCTGAATTAATAGAAAGATATTATTTCTCAGTGTGATTCCTATAAACATTTCCCCCCTCTATGTATAATAATAATTATAGTTGATATCCAATTAAGTCCTACTCAGAGTAGATCCATTGAAATTAGTTGACTTGTCCATTGAGTATGATTAATGCTGGATATCACCCAGTATATTTGTAATTAGTCTCAGAATCAACTAGAGCAGAATGAAGTGCTACACACTTTAATAAGCAGACATATAATGTTTATAGTACAAGATAGCCTTGTTGTATTTAAAAGAAAAGAATTCAGAGAATTGGATACAAGCCTTAAAATTCTATTTAATAAATTTCTTTTTAATTTGGTGAGGCTCCTCACTTAAAATATTCTCTTGTCTTAATTGCAGGGGTTACTGTAATCATCTTGCAGTGTGTATTCTTTTGCTTGTTTAGTTATATTGTCCTTATTGAAGATCTTACTGAAATCTGTTTTGCTTTTTTGTTTCCAAGTCAAAACACTGCTGGAGGCTTCTAAACTTCAAAGACATTCATATTTGGTTCTCTAACTTTTACGGCATACTATGCTGTAGTCATGAATAATTACATGTAATTTTCCTTTCATCTTTTGTTGGTTGGTTGGTTTGGAAGAAGTCGCTCATTGTGAGCAGCATTGTACATTTTTGCCTTTGTGTACATACCATGATTTGAATTCCAGCTACTACCACCAAAGGCCTTTCCCTGCAAAAGGTACTGCGTCTGCAGTACTATATTAAGGGGAGGAATGTTTCGCGGCAAACAATCGAGGGTGCTTGGAAACTGGCTTGTTTCCAGAAACAATTTTCACATTTCACCTTTTAAAACAGACAGTGTGTGTATAGAATAATTAAAACCTTTCATTCTCTGCGATCTTCATTGTTGGCTTAGGATTATGAAGCACATCTGAAAGCTATGTACAACATAATAAGGAGCCTTGCAAGTCACGTGGCAGAATTGCAATCAGTACACAAAAGTTAGCGTGATTCTGGCAGCCTTAATGCCAATAATAGGTTATTATTCAAGTTACTGCATGACCCGACATGTTCTGAGTATTAGAAAATAATCTTCAGTAAAAAATCAAATCAAATGGTTAAGTGTGTTAGTCATTACAAGAGATTCTGGCTTCTTTGCTAACCCCTTTGTCTGTTTGTAGGTCCATTATACCTGAATACCCCTGGAATACAGGAAGTTGCCTTAGGCCAAGTTAGATCATTGGTCTATCTCAGCATTGTCTACTACACTAAGCGTGGACAACCATGTTTTTGTCCCGGGCCACATAAGCTCAGGGATAATTGTTTGGGGGGCCCATGCCAGTGACTGCTGTCTTCTTGTCTTCAGAAGCAAAATTGTGTCTTACAGATACCTTTTTCTTTAACCTTGCTTCACCGATGACAGAACTGTAGTGTTTCTGCAACACTTGATTTTGCGGGGTTTTGAACTTGTTTCAGATGCTAACAGTGTTTTGGGTTTTTTTGTTTCCTGCAGATATATGGAGCGATCACTCATTTCAGACAGATCCTGACTTGCCTCCAGGCTGGAAAAAGATCAGTGACATAGCGGGCGTCTATTATTGGCACATACCGACAGGAACAACCCAATGGGAACGTCCCATATCCATACCAACAGAACTTCAAGGCTCAAGAAAAGGCTCCCTTAGTTCGATCACACCATCTCCCACTCCAGAAACAGAGGTAACGTTTGTTTGTCTGCTTTGAGTCATAGCTGTCTACTGTCCCTTATTTGGCGGGAAACTCCTCTATCCCAGCGCCGTGTCCCGCTGCTGTCCCTTATTGATGATGTCCCTTAAATTTCCTGAGTTTCAAAGGAAGCAACTCCCCTCCATGCAACCCTCCCTGCCTGCCAGGGAGGAGGGAGGCTCCAACTGTGTTGCTTGGCTGCCCGGCCCTCCCCCCTCCAGCCTCCTCTCACCAGCCTCGGCCCCCGGGAGCCCCTCCCCACCGGGACTGGCGGGAGCCTTGGGCTCTTCCACCACCATCCTTCTCATGGCCGCCGAACTGAGCTTCTCTGCCTGGGGCCTGCCCCCCGCTGCCGCTCCTGCTAGGCCGTACTGTGGCTGCGCCGCCGAAGGACCTGGATGAGATGGGCAGCCTGGCGCGGCCTATGAATTGCTGAGGAGCCTTGAGAGGAGAGCGAGGGCAACCATACAGAAAGCAGTTCAGAGAGGAGAGGAGGAGGTGGAGGCGCGGACAGGTGTTCCAAGGACTAACCATAGAGGGGGAAAGCGGAGGAAGGACCGCAAGCGCTTCTCCCATAGATTTGTAGTGGTAGACTAGCATAGATGGTCTGATCTGCCGATTTACTTTGGGTGCTATTCCCCCCCCCCTTACTCCCGCCCCGCCTGATGGAACTTAGAGCTGCAGATGGAGCACGAGAGAAAAGATACAGAACTGCAGCAGCATCTTTGTAGCTTAGACTTCGTTTTGTGCAAAAAGTGGTTGCTGCTTGTAGTTATTTAATTGCAGTGTTTCATCAGCTGGTGTCTTGAGCAGCATCCTCTGGAAACGAAGGGCTAAAAACCGGCGCTGCTCTCCCAAATTATCTGGTCCCTTTTAACTTCGTATTTCAGCTGGTTGACTAAAATCCCTTATTTTGGCTGCTGATCCCTTGTTTTCAAGGCTGCTGGTCCCTTATTTTCAAATCTGTAAGTTGACAGCTGTGCTTTGAGTCTGTGGACAGGTGGGGAACCATTTTAAATAGGTTAACTTTTTTTAAAAGACTTTTGATACAACAGAAACCAAGAATATTAGCATATCTTTCCTCTTGCTTCATGCAAACTAGTGGCTGCAGCAGCCGTGCCAGTTAGTTGCTTTAATCCTACATGGGATTGCCACTTCTCCATATTACTGCTACGTGCAACAACAAATGGAGGAGTGTTGCAATCCACATGGACTAGAGCCAAACTAAATGGTGGATCAGCTGGTCCGCATTCACACTTGTCTTGAGTTCAGTGGCACATCAAAAAGAAAAGTAGAATTTGTTAGGCCTGCAGAGAAGCCCCTGAAGAGAATCACCGGAAGCAAGAAGAAGCCCTAGTAATCTCACAAAGCTGTTCCTCCAGAGCCATGCTTCATACTACGAAGGTAGCATTGAGTTTAAGGACTTTTCATAGCAGTATAAGTGGACCTGATGGGTTGGGAAGTGGTAGAAGTGATCTAGGTTGCCAAGGGGATCAGAGCAGCCATTCATTGCCATTGCACACAGGAGAACCTGTGCGTTGGCGAAGCAGTTTGTAGTGACAACTGCACAACAAATGAAAAGTTGTAGGTATCAACCCTTATCGTCTTTGAGAGAAGCTACAAACTCCCCTCCCCCAATCCCCAAGTGTGCTTCCCCACAAAGCATTAAAAAGTGGTCTGTCTTTTTCAGCTCAGTTTTAAGAGTTGTACAGTGAATATCTGCTAGGAAAAATACAATTGCAGATCTAGATCTCTAGTGTGTAGACCCCCGAATTGTTGCTTTTGTCTCAAATACAGTTTTTAAGTTACTGCCACTTTCGTTTAACACGTGGGTGGGGGGCTCTCAGTACATTAACCTCATTAATCTGAACTTTTGACTTTTTTCGTATGCCACGCTAAAGAGCAGAAACTGCCGTTCTTTTCAAATCTGTTTTAAATGTTAGTGCAAAACTTCTTACTAGTAGAAGGAAATGGCCCAAAAAGCAGGCAGTAAAACACCTAATTGGGCAATATGACACCACAGACCACTTTGAATAAGATGTCCTGGCAGTAGCAATTGTTTGAACCTGGAAAGTAAAGCATAGGGAGGGATCTTTTGTGTTTCAGCTGGTTCTCGTTACATCCTCTAGAGTAAAAAATGTTTGTCCCTCAGCTAGGGGAAATGAAAACCAATAAATCCAAACACACACAATCGGTACCATCCATAACACATTATATTCCTCCTTTATATTTGTGTATTTATTCTTTAGATTTATGTCCTGCCTCTCCACACATTAATATGTGCAGCTTGATGGTTGCCTAGACTCATCAGAGAATATTCTTATTTCCTTTGGCCTTGAGCTCAACCTAAGAATCACATTATTTTCTTTGTGCGTAGAATGTGCTGTGCTGTGGTTTTAGAAAAATTAATTAGCTATATATAAATTGCAAAGAAATGGTTTGAATCAAAATTGAGTTGGTGTTTCCCAATCCACCATGGGAAAATTGTTGGACAGTTTGTGTGTGGATACTGTAAAAGGCAGGGTGAGGTAGACTGCTTCAAGTGACAGATTGTGGACTAGTTTTGAAAGGGCAACAGATTGTCACATACTAAGTTCATTATTATATTTTTACCACCATAGTGGGACATCATTTGGCTTTTCTGTCGTTGGCACCAGGATGTCTTGGGCCACCTCAGATAGGAGTATCTAAAATAAAGAATTTCAGATGAGTTCCAATTTACTCTCCATTAAAAAATATTTTCTTCATATTTACTATTCAGCCCCTGTTAGAAGCATCTGGTATTGATATACTTAGTCTGAGATGAAGATGTTTGAACCTTTTAGCTATCTCAGAAACATGCTTGGGAATGTTTTATAACTGAGCAATTTGTCATTTTGCTTATTATTAGATATAGTCTGTCTCCTATTATTTTCCTTCTGTGCCTTTTCATATGAAATCTTGCTTTAAAAAGTAGCAATCTGGCCTGAGTGGAAACCAATTCAGTTTTCATACATTTTCAGTGTAATAATAATGTTATTATTTATACCCTGCCCATCTGGCTGGGTTTCCCCAGCAACTCTAAAAACATGATAAAACATCAAACACGATAAAACATCAACCATTAAAAACTTCCCTAAACTTCAGGTGTCTTCTGAAAGTCAGGTGGTTGTTTATTTCCTTGACATCTGATGGGAGGGCGTTCCACAGGGCAGGCGCCACTACCAAGAAGGCCCTCTGCCCGGTTCCCTGTAACCTCACTTCTCACAGTGAGGGAACCTCCAGAAAGCCCTCGGAGCTGGACCTCGTGTCTGGGCTGAACAATGGGCGTGGAGATGCTCCTTCAGGTATACTGGGCCGAGGCCTTTTAGGGCTTTAAAGGTCACCACCAACACTTTGAATTGTGCTCAGAAACATACTGGAAGCCAATGTAGGTCTTTCAGGACCGGTGTTATATGGTCTCGGCAGCCACTCCCAGTCATCAGTCTAGCTGCTGCATTCTGGGTTAGTTGTAGTTTCCCGGTCACCTTCAAAGGTACCCCCACGTAGAATGCATTGCAGTAGTCCAAACCGGAGTTAATTAGAGTATGCACCACTCTGGCAAGACAGTCTGCAGGCAGGAAGGGGTTCAGCGGGTTTGGGAAGGCTCCCTCACAGAGGGAAGCATTCACCACCCCGCAGAGCCCATCACTTTTATGAGCCCGGGTGGGCAAGGATCAAGGAGACAGGTGGTCTGTTTCACTTGCCCAAGCAGCCGGTCCGCATCCTCGGAGGTAACAGATTGTGAGAAGATTTTAAACAAGAAAACTGAATATAGCATTCTGTGCTGTCATGTCATGTGACTTGGGTCCCATTTGCACTATTCTTTTAAAACGGTGTCATACCTCATTAAACAGTCATGGCTTCCCCCAAAGAATCATGGGAATCGTAGTTCATTAAGAGTGCTGAGAGTCGTTAGGAGACCCCTATTACTATCACAGAACTACAATTCTTAGAGTGGTTTCTCAATCCGTCCCTCTTCCCAGCAGATGCTGCATTAAATAGGCCTATGATCTTAGCCAGTGGGACTCTTAATACAGTGATACCTTGGTTTGCAACCACTTTGGATTACAACCACATCAAACCCAGAAGTGTGTGTCCCTTTTTTTTGGATCACAACCCATTTTTAATTTTTTTTAAATTTTTTTGGATTAAAACCCATTTTGGGGGGGAGGCCGTATTGGTGAAAGTACGCCTTGGGTTACAACCTGTTTTGGTTTACAACTAGACCTCTGGAACAGATTATGGTTGTAAACCAAGGTACCACTGTACTGTATTTTCTTGCGAAGTCGTGGTGATTTTCACTGCAACAAGAAGCCTGTCTGTATTTCTTATTCCATTGTTCATTTTCCCTCCCTCTCCTTTTTATGTTCCCACTAACATTTTATATTGTCTGTTCTAGCAGTTTGGAAATACTAACTGATCAAACACTGGGAGATGGAAATAGTTTTCTTTTCTTTTCTTTTCTTTTCTTTTTAATTGATATTTCAGAGTAGGCCAAGACAATCTGGTCAAGCTCCACAATTTGCTTCCTTTCATTCAAATATCCCAATGATAATGCAAGCACATTGTGTGTTGTGTCTGTCTCTAATTCGTATGAACTTTCCCTTGTCCCAGTTACTTGTCTTGGTAAGTAATGTTAGAAGTGGTCCTCACTTCTACTGCTTCCAAATACCTCTGTACTCAGGGCCGGCTCAACAATAAGAGACAAACAATAAGAGGCAAATAATTCAGGGGCACCTTCTTCCGTTAAGTAAATGCCTTTGAGAGGGACCCAGCCTACAGGTGCACAGGAGCAGTTTAGCAGCTCTCCAACCAGGAGAGAATAATTTCTGTGTTCCAGGGAATTGGAGAATCGATCTCTGCTGGTTACTGAAGGGAGAGGCACAGTTTGTAAAGGAGGTTAGGGCATATAAATCTAAAAACGATAAAATAACATCCCAACCAGCTATTACTTAATGTGCTATTATAATGAGGCAGAAGTGCAAATTTGGGGTGGAAAATTTTGATTTTAATTTTTAATTTGCTTGTTCAGCATCAAACGTTGAGCCAGCCCAGATTCTACAGCAAATTGAATGAGTTGAAACTTGAGGTGACCTGTTCCCTAACCCAACCTGCAAATATCAATGCTAACAACAGTGTTTTTGTGTTCCCCCTCCCTTTTCTTCCTTTCTTCCCTCCCTCCCTCCCTCTCTCCCTCCTTTCTTTCTTTTATTTTTTTATCAATGTGCTTCTTCCTGTGTGAATAATTATATATCTAGAAACAGCCATGGAGTGATTTTGCTGTACTGAATGGGGGAAAGATTAATAGTGACATTTGGAAGGCAAGTATATTGTCAGATTTTAGAACACTTTAATGCTTTTTTAACCTTTTTAAAAAATCATTTTGCATGGCCATGGCTGTATTTATTGTATTTATCCTCCCAAAAATATCACTCATGACATCTGACCAGCCAGAGAGAACAGGAATTTTGGTCTAGCTCCTTAACTTGCTACCTCATTCTGATATTTTTCACGCACAACGCATTTGTTCAAGTCAGCAGGGCAGATCCTCACCCATAACAGAATCATGCCTGTGCCTAACAAACTGTAGTGTTCAAAATATGTGCATGCCTTTAAATACATATATATATATATTCGCTAAAAACACGGTGCTGCTGCTTTGCAGGAAGAATATTCTTTGAAAATAAAAGCAAATCCATAGAAGAAATGCCTCGCATCCTGTATAACAAGCTGTTTTCCCCTCCTGCAGGATCTCCATGCAGCCACGGTAAATCCAGACCCCAGTTTGAAAGAGTTTGAAGGAGCAACATTGCGCTATGCCTCTTTGAAGCTCAGGTATGAACAGTTTATCTGTTAATCATCTTTACTCCTCAGTCCTAGATGCATTTGCTCTGACATAGGTCTCATTGATTTTTAAGGAATTTTCCTTGTAAACGTGTTTTGGATTGCAGCTGTAGATTACTGTTCTCTTTTTTTTTTTTGTAATCCTATTGAAATAACTGGAAAACAGAGCTGGCCAGCCAGAGGGCCTTCTCGGTAGTGGCGCCCGCCCTGTGGAACGCCCTCCCATCAGATGTCAAGGAAATAAACAACTATCTGACTTTTAGAAGACATCTGAAGGCAGCCCTGTTTAGGGAAGTTTTTAATGTTTGAAGCTTTATCGTGTTTTTAATATTCTGTTGGGAGCCGCCCGGAGTGGCTGGGGAAACCCAGCCAGATGGGTGGGGTATAAATAATACATTATTATTAATTATATTTTTAAGTCTGGTGTCCACATGCTTTAGCTCCAGGGTTGCCAACATGGTGCCAGAGTGCCCATTAGTTCCTCCTACGGCACCCACGAAAGGTGCCCCTTAAACATGCCCACGTTTATTTAAGACACTTATATGCCGCTTATTCACATTTCTATAACACAAATAGTCTTTAAGCTTTGGAAAAGTCTGGAAGGAACCACATTAACTTTTAATATATTTCTGGGCTGGTGCTAAAGCCCTATAAAGCCTGGATATGGAGTAACTGAAATAGTGCCTTCTTCACTATACGCAATGTAATGATTATAGGGGTTGCTCATGCGTAAGTTGCCGCCACTCCTGGCTAGTGTGCCTGGTTAAACCTTTTCTGTCTGGACAGCCCCTCACTTCGTGGCTGTTTCAGTCGCTAGCAGTATCCGTCAGTGGGCGTTTCTTAAACCTTTTCCAACATAAAAGCTGTTTGACTCCAAGTCTTCTCCTACTCTCTCTGCGCGGAAGTCTTCTGTGCAGAGAGGGTGTGGGTAGCGGAGGACCCGTGCTCTCCCCGCTGGTCTCTGGCGAGGAGTCCCGGAGCCCCCTCGCCGATTCTCCCATCTGCCCCCCTTTATCCCTGGTGTTACGCTCATTTCCTTCCCCAGCTGATGAGCTGCCTCTCTCCCTGCTGGGCCCTTCTCCAGCATCGCTTGGGAGCCTTGCCTCCACCTCTGGCTCCGATGTCAGTTCCCTGACACGCAATGACATACGACAAGTCAAGACATACGACCCTCCAAATGTTGTGGGATTCGCAACTCTGATCAGCTCTAGCCAGCACAGATGACAGCTAAGGATGATGGGAGTTGTAGTCCATTAGGATCTGAAGGGCATCTCCAGGCCCTCCTCAAAATCCTGGAGCCTACTGTTCTCTGTTCATGTGAATTCAGCCAACATTTGACAGGTGTCCGCCACTCATCATGCTAAAATATTGTCTTTGAGTTGTCCATTCTATTTGGCCCTAACCCTAACAGTAGCATTTCCTCCCCTCAACAGAAATGCCCCACAATGCGATGAAGACGATTCCTGTAGCATCAACAGTGATCCAGAAGCCAAGGTCTGTAAGCAAAATAACGTTGGGTTTTTTTTTGGAAAAAAATCACTGATCTAGATGGACAAATAAATGCAGCGGTCATATTTCAGTTTTAAGACCTGATACCCATAGACAGCATTTTGCAAACTAAAAGCATTGCAAATGGAATTATGAACTAGTTTAGCGAATGGGGGGTGGGTTATTGGTTTGCTTTCTGTATTTTTTTATTCTTTTTTTGTTTTTTGTTACTGCCCTGGGATCTGCTGATGGAGGGCAGTATGCAAAGCTAATAAATAATAAATAATAAAAATATTCTGCTTAATTGAGAAAAATATTGAAAGCATAACATCAGTGTGACATCTAAAATTTCACAAACCAAATACAGTAATTAATTGCAAAGAGCCCTATGTACATTAGGACATATCTAAGGAATCCCACCTGCTTCTGCTAAGGGTGGTTCTCACTCTCCCCACATGTGCAGTGGGGCTTTTCTGCACCCCATTCCTACTGCAGCCCCACCTGAAGCCAAACTGCTCCTAAAGTTAATTGGGATGCTCCATACAGGGAATTGGACTTATCTCCTTGCAGTTTGTCAATTCTAAGTTGTGGTGTGTGAGATAGAGCAGCTTGGGTGGGGATGCATTGGGAGGGGGGCAGAAAAGTCCCAGTGTGCACTATGTGTTTACTGCCTTTGGTCCTTTAGCTCCTACCAGCATAATCTTATTTATTTATTTATTAGGGTAGTACTTAGGGACTTAGTAGATAAATAGGTACCGCTCCGGCGGGAAAGTAAACGGTGTTTCCATGCGCTGCTCTGGGTCGCTAGAAGTGGCTTAGTCATGCTGGCCACATGCTGACCAGCTGTACGCCGGCTCCCTCGGCCAATAAAGCGAGATGAGTGCTGCAACCCCAGAGTCGGCCACGACTGGACCTAATGGTCAGGGGTCCCTTTACCTTTACCTAGGGTAGTACTTGCAGGACATCTTTGGGAGAAGCAACGACTTAAGTACCCTGCACAAATCTGGAGTGGAGTCCCTAAGGCCTTGTACATCTCTTTCTGGCAACTCCTGCAGCTAAATGGTGTCAAACATATTGCTCTGCTTTCCTTTAACGTACATCAGCGAGGCCAAGAGGAAGCTTCTTGTCAGGGCAGCCCAGGGCCTAACTACACACTGCCCAGGCTTGTGCCCCATAGAGGTCACTTGGGTGCTACTAACATAGCAAAACCAACACGGGAGGCAGAGATTATGAGTTACCAGTCTCTGCAGCCACAGCAGGTGCTGCGATTCTCCAGCTGTTTGACTTCACCCCTGGAGGCACACTCCATTGTCTTTCGTACTTCAGGGTAAAGGGACCCCTGGCCTATTTCTCTACTTGCACTTCGTGCTTTCGAACTGCTAGGTTGGCAGGAGCAGGGACCGAGCAACGGGAGCTCACCCCATCGTGGGGATTTGAACCGCCGACCTTCTGATCAGCAAGCCCTAGGCTCTGTGGTTTAACCCACAGCGCCACCTGTGTCCTCTTTTGTACTTAGGGTATTTCTAATGTTATGGCTGGCAATTCCATGGCTCTTCACAGCTCTCCGAGCTCGTTTTGCGTATTGTTCCTTCCTCCCCTCTGATAAAACTGAGGTTAAGATGGCCACAGGTCAGCCAGCCATCTCTGGACCTCTGCAGATCTAAATTGACTTTTAATTGATTTTAACCTGTTCGCCTGGGGGTGAACTGGAGGAGGGGTCGATACAAGGGAGCCCAATGTGGGCCCAATGGGATACTCCCCACAGCAGCTGGCCACGCCTGCTGCAGAGGATTTTCTAAAAACCAAAGACTCTGAGGTTGACCCAGAGGAAAGGTTTCTAGTTTGGTCCTATAGAAAAGGTGTGGGCCAGCTTACTCAGGGGAACAGCTTGTGCTCTTGTTGTTGGCTTCTGCCATTCTAACCACAGGGCCGACTTCAACTGATCTAGCAGCATGGGCAGAGAAGGGGTGGGTGGGGTGAGGAAGTTCTAGTTAATGTAGGAATTTTAGAGAAAGTGCATTTTATTTTGCAAATGGGTTTTGCTGCCACCTTGTGGACATCTGCAAGACATCTTCACAGAATACAAAGACTACCGTATTTTTCGCTCTATAAGACGCACCAGACCACAAAACGCACCTAGTTTTTGGAGGAGGAAAACAAGAAAAAAAATATTCTGACTCTCAGAAGCCAGAACAGCAAGAGGGATCACTGCGCAGTGAAAGCAGCAATCCCTCTTGCTGTTCTGGCTTCTGGGATAGCTGTGCAGCCTGCATTTGCTCCATAAGACGCACACACATTTCCCCTTACTTTTTAGGAGGGGGAAAAGTGAGTCTTATAGAGCAAAAAATATGGTATTTTACTTTAGAAAAGATCACTGGGCAACCTTGCATGAATCTTGATGCAAAAGAAGAGGAAGAAGAAATTTAGAGCAGGATATAGCTAATTAAATGTTATCCATATTGCTGCAGGATTTGGATTTTAAATCTGCTGCAATCCTGTACACATATACCTGGGAGGTGGGGGGGGGGGAATTGGAAAGACGAAATCCAAACAGCATCTCTGTCAGATTCAATTTTGGGAGCAGTTTGAGCTTGACATGGGCTGCCAGAGTTAATGCATTTCAGATCTGTGCTTTGGACTGATTCCACATTGGCAGTGGCATTTTGAACAATATGTGCATTATTTTGTTGTACGTTTTCTGTCCTAACGGAATATATAGCCATGTTGTCTCTATTGGCTCCCAAGGCAAACTAAACATCGCTGACTCCAAGACCACAAATGCGGACCTCGCCAAATCCATAGAAGTTACCAGTGTATAACATCAAATATTTTGCCAACCTCTCTGCTTGGACTTGCCCATTGCTGTAGCGTAGCGACATGCAAAACAATTCAAAGTAAATATATGCTTTGGATGCCACCCAAAGCTTCTGTCGTGTGGTGTCTTAATTTTTAGGGAGATTGTTAACACCAGAGTTAGGCTTTCCAGACAACGTTTTGAAGGGAAAAGACAGAAAAAACATATGGAGTGGGTTCATAATGCTGTTTTACAATTGAACATACAATCTTATTAGTGAATTTGAGCATTTGTTGAAGAAGTCTATCAGTACGGCGACACCTTAAGGATAAATGGTGCCAACCAGCTTTCCTAATCCAGAACTCACTTTTTCAGATGCAGATTCCTCTTTAGGTATTGATATTCTTTCATTTTACTTGGCCTATTTATTACCAGACTAGATTGGATCTTTGCAATGTGCCATACTTTAGTGACCCGTCGTTTCATTTTAGAGACTTCAATCTTGCACCAGTTTTGGGTTGTTGTTTTGCAGTTTTTATTTAAGCTGCTATCAGAAGTCTAATAATAATATGAGAAGTCTAATATAAGAAGTCTAATAATATGCTGTCTAATAATAATAATAATAATAATAATAATAATAATAATAAATTTTTATTTACATCCCGCCCTCCCCAGCCGAAGCCGGGCTCAGAGCGGCTAACAACAATAAAATGATAAAACATTCTAAAATCATTTCATTATAAAATTAATTTGAAACAGAAGTCCAATGATAGCAACAAAAGGATACAATGACACTTAGTACACTTGTCATTAGTTACTGGTTTTTTAAAATCTGAATCCAATGAGACTTTATTATTTGGTTGAACCATAATGTGTGGAAAAACTCTGTTAAATTGCTAACATGTATGAATATTATCTCCATATATTTTATCCAATTTATGCTGGGTCAGATACTAATTGTAGAGTGTTTTACAGTGGTTGTGCCCACCTGCCTACATGTATTTATGTAAATTATTTGTTCTCCTACAGAGGGAAATCCACCATTTGTTAATCTTTGCCTGGCAACTAGGAGGAGATTGTTACTCACTAAAAAAAGTACATATTTACCGTTTGTGGTGTCATAAAATATCTAGCAGACAGTGTGTGGCAGCTGTGAAAAAGGCAAATTCCATGCTAGGGATCATTAGCAAAGGAACTGAAAGTAAAAGACAGAATTAGTAAACATTTTGGCTGAAACATGCATTGTTATAAGTATAAGGGAATTAACATGGATTTAATACACATCTTTTGGAGTTGTAAAAAAAAGCAGCAACACATTTTTGGACAGAAGTACAGTGGTACCTCGGGTTAAGTACTTAATTCGTTCCAGAGGTCTGTTCTTAACCTGAAACTGTTCTTAATCTGAAGCACCACTTTAGCTAATGGGGCCTCCTGCTCCCGCTGCGCCGCCGGAGCCCAATTTCTATTCTTATCCTGAAGCAAAGTTCTTAACCTGAAGTACTATTTCTGGGTTAGTGGAGTGTGTAACCTGAAGCGTATGTAACCCGAGATACCACTGTATTGACTATTATACAAATAAATACAGACAACATTGGGAAGGTGGAGGTAAGGGTTATGCTGGTACATTTTGTGACCTTGTTGTTGACAGTTTGCTGTCTATATGAAATATTGCTGGACCAGTTTGCTAGCAACATCAATAACAGGTTTGAGTGTTGAAGAGTTTGGACTGCAGTGTGAGTTGTAATGCTTTATTTAAATCGGCCCTCTGTCTTAAAACATGATTTGGGAAATCTGATATCCCAGTGGCTGGTTCTGTGAAGGTCTGGAGCTGGTGGTTTTTATTTTAAAAATCTCTTTTTAAAATAAAAATGTTGGTAAATATGAGACATGCTTTTAAATTTAAAACATGCAGCAAATGCATAGCCTTTTGAAATGTTATATTTAAGAGATCTGTGTGCTTCAATTAACCCAGCTTAATAAACATGTCTGCCGTTATGCACTTTGGACAGCCCAGGTCTCTGTGTGTGTAAATACTTGGCTCAGGGCCTGCATTGGGGGTTTTTTAAAGCCAGCAAGAATAAAATGCCACTTCAGATATCATTCAACCTACAAAACACCTTCATGAAGAGCAGAAAGGAATAGGGGATGTTTCAAAGTCCTTAGAGCATCGCAGTTAAAATGAAGAGGGAATATTAAATATTTAACTTCAAGT